TAATAATAATAAACTATAAGGAATTAACTAAAATAACCTTTAGAAATACTATAAGCTTACTACTAGATATATACCTAAGCCCAGATATACTTAGTGTAAATGCTATAATATTCAAAATAAAGAACTAAGATAGATTACCTTAGACCTAAATAATATTAATATTAACCCTTACAGTAATAATTATTACAACGGCACTAATAATATAACCTATTATAACCTAAATACCTTTATAAAAGGAAAAAAACTATAAAAATTCTAAGCACTAGGTACTTTAGAAAGATATCTAATTATAGTTTATATAGACTCCGGAGCTATAATAAGCTATATTACGCCTTAACTAGTTAATTACCTATAGTTAACCTATTATAAAAAGGAAAAACTATATACCCTTATAAATATTAAGAAATAATAATTTACTTATAATAATAGAACTATTAACTATAAGATTAATTACCTTAAAATTTAATTTAGTAAAATTAAAAATATATTTAGTTTTAATATTATAAATATTATAGGATATAATATACTCTTAGGATATAATTAGCTTAAGTTATATAACTCTAATATTAATTAGAAGGGAGGTTACGTAATATAGCGATCTTATACTTAACTAACTAATATTATAGTAAAACTGTAACTAGATTAGGAGGATTAATAAAATACTATAATATCCCCAACAATAGGATTAGTAACCCCTGTATTAAATAAAGAAATATAAAAATACATAGAAAAAAAAAAAGTTATAAAATAAATATAATTTAAAAAGTTAAAGAAGCTCCTAAGAATAGTTAAATATATTAAAAAACCTAAAAAAAAATAGCTTAAATTTCTAAACTTAATTATATAAAAGGTTAAGGAATTATACTACTAAGACTAATAGATATTAGAATGTTTAAAGAACGTACTAATAGACCTCTAGTATATACTAGTTTTTAATAAAAAACTTAATACTAGACTACTAAAATACAGCTAATGGGATTATAAGATTAAGCTTATAGATAATAAAGTCCTAATATTTAATAAAATCTATAACCTTAGTACTACTAAACTTAGGATATTTAATAAATAGATTAAAGACTAGCTAAAAAAGGGCTATATTTAACCTTTTAAATCCTTAGCAGGAGCACTAGTTATATTTATACCTAAAAAAAACAATAAACTTTAACTTATTATAGATTACTAATAATTAAATATAATAACTAAGAAAGATATTATACTATTACTACTGATTTCGGAAATTAGAGATCAGCTTACAGAAGCTAAGGTCTTTACTTTATTAAACCTTAAAGGAGCCTATAACCTTATTTATATAAAGAAAGGTAATAAATAGAAAACCGCCTTTAGAACTAAATACAGATTATATAAATATAATATTATATAGTTTAAATTAACTAACGCCCCTATAATATTCTAGAAAATAATTAACTATATATTATAAAACTATATAAATTACTTTATTATTATATACCTTAATAATATCCTTATTTACTTTAAAAACTTAAAAAAACATAAGGAGTACGTTAAGAAGGTATTATAAATACTTTAAAATAATAAACTCCTAGTAGAACCTAAAAAATATAACTTTTATATACAGAAGGTTATATTTTTAAAATATATTATTACCCTAAGCAGAGTTTAAATAAACCCTAAGAAACTTAACGTAATTAATAATTAAAAGCTACCTAAGAACGTTAAATAAGTATAAAGCTTTCTAAGACTTACTAACTACTACTAATACTTTATTAAAGACTGCTTAAAAATTATTACGCTACTTATAAACTTAACTAAAAAAGATATTAAATTTAAATTAATATAAAACGCTTTAACAGCCTTTAAATACCTTAAATAAGCTTTTACTAGTATACTAGTACTTATAATATTTAACCTAAATAAACCTATTATAATTAAAACTAATGCCTTAGACTATGTAATTAGTAAAGTACTTAGCTAATTAAATAAAAAAAGGAAACTTAGGCCTATTACCTACTTTTTTAAAAAACTATATAAACTAAAACTTAGATACTTAATCTACAACAAGGAGTTTATAACTATATACTAAACACTTAGCAAGTAGTATTAGAAATACTATTATAAAGGAAGTTAATTTTTAATAATAATCTTTATAAATTACTAAAATATTACTTACTTTATAATAATATAAAAATTATCCTATAGATAAGTTAAATACTATAAGTAACTTTCTAAGTTTAAGCTTATTATTAAATACTACAGTAAATTAAATAATAAATGTATTAATATACTTAGTAAATGCCTAGATTACTTTTAAAAAATCCTAGAAGTTAAAGTATAAATACTAAAAGAAAACTAGTATAAAGACCTAGTTATTTAATTAATTAACACCTTATATTAAATTAAGATAGACAACTTAATTATTAATAATATAAAAGAATACGTTAAGAACTAGGAGAATAAATAATACTTAGAAGGTATTTTTATAAATATTAAATACCTAATATTAAATAGATTTATCTAGGTACTAGAAGACTTATAAAGTAAAGTAGTAAAATTAGTTTACGTACATAAGCTTAACGGATACTGTAGAATTTAAAAAACTATATAGTAAATTATATAATACTTTAAATTTAAAGGTATTAAGAAATAGGTACAGAAGGTTATATTAAAATATATAATATATAAATAAGCTAAGGTATTATATTATTTTCTTTATAAAAAACTATAACCTTTACTAATTCTAATTAAAAATTAGAAATTAATAATGTTTAACTATATTATAAAGCTTTTACCTTTAAGAGAACTTATAATTAATAATACTTAAGATAGTATCTTTATAGTAGTTAATTAACTTTCGAAAATAGCCTACTTTATCTTAGTAATAGAGAAAAGCTCTGCAGAAGACTTAGCTTATGTATTTTTCCAATATATTTACGTAACCTATAGACTACTAAATAAAATTATCTTTAATAAAGAATTAACGTTTATGTTAAAATTTTAGTAATTACTTATAGTATAAATTAGACTAAAATATAAAGCTAGTATAACTTACTACCCTTAGATAGATAAATAAACGAAATAAATTAATTAAATTATTAAAACTTACTTATAATATTACGTTAACTTTAACTAAGATAATTAGGTAAAATACTTATTAACTACTTAAGTATTTTATAATAGTACATTAGTAGAATTTATAAACTACTTACTATTTTACGTAAACTATAGGTTTAAACTAAATTTACATTAGCTATTTATTAAAGAAGAAAATACTAGTAAAGCTATTATTATAATTAATAAACTTAAAAAACTATATTAAGAATTACAAGTATAATTTAAATTTATTAAATAATAAATAGCTAAATTTATAAATATAAGAAGGATTAGAGGATTAACCTTTAAGGAGGGAGATATAGTCTACCTACTTTAATATTTGCAAAATAATAAATAGCTAAATATTAAAATAAACAGGCTAAGTAATAAACTTAATTTTAAAAAACTTAGACTTTATAAAGTTATAAAGAAAATTAGACTTATTAATTATAAAATAAATCTTCTACTTACCCTAGGAAAATAAAGAAGAACTATATATTTAAATTTTTACATTTTACTATTAGAAAAAGTACTAGTAAATAAAGAAATAAGTAAAGTTATATAGGATAAAATTATTATTTAAAGTAAAGAACTTAAATACGAAGTTAAGAAGCTTAAAATAATAAAATTTAATAAAAATACTTAATAAACTAAATACTTAGTAAAATAAAAAGGCTATAATAAAATAAAAAAATTATAATAAATTATTAAAGACCTTAAATACTTAAAAAACTTTATAAATAACTTTTACTAAAGTCTAGGTTTAGTAAAGAAGGGTTAAAAGCATCTTAATTAATAGCATTAACTACGGAACCCTAAGTTACAGGATTAAATAAATTAGGTAATAATATATTAGCCTAACGAGCTACCTCCGCTTCTTAAGCCTCCCGCTCCTCTTACTTAATATACTTTAATTCCTTTAAATTATTAATATTATAAGTAATAACCTACTCTATCTGCTTAGACTACTTGCGTTTCTAAGTACAAAGACGTTTTACTTAAGCACCAGCCTTAAGCTATGCCTCTTCCGCTTCTTTAAGCTCCTTATTTAATTTTAAATAATAAATTACTACCTTACGTATCTATTATAGGGTAAGACCGAATGCTTTATAATAAGATTTTTAATTTTAAACGTAAGAAAGACACTAATAGAAATTTTCCTCTAAGGTAATATAATTACAGCCTTACTTTTCGTAGTAAATATATAATTTTATAATAAGGATAGAATTCTCTAGTATAATATTAGTAAAGCTTTTACGTTTTTCTTTCTTTTACTTAAAAATAAGTTTATTATTATACTTATGCTTATAATTAATTATAATAAAGAAATAAAAAATAAAGGTAAAATAAAAAAGGATTATAGTATTTACTAATAGAATAGGAGTAAATACTTATATACTACCTTAATTAGGTCTTAAAGATAAGATTAATAAGAGGGGGAGAATTATATTATAACCTAACTCTTAAGGTTATAATAAAAAGCTAATAGGTTAGCTGGAATTAGATTAACTATAGGCTGATAGACTAATTAGGATTATTAACATTCCTTAATAAGAAAGCTAAGAAAGCTAGCTTTTTAAATAATTTATTATAAAAAAGCTAGGAAAGCTAGCTTTTTAATATAATTTAGAATATATAACTAAATATATAAGTTTATTTTATACTACTTATTAGAATATTTAAATAGCTAGTTATTATTATAGTATTTATAATATAATTAGATTAGAACATAGACATCTACTTTTATTTATATTACTAGCTAGTAATAAAATTACCTGTTACTGACCTAATTGCTCCGCTAACATAAACTATAGAACTACTCTAAGGTTTATCCCTTGGAAACAGCTAACCTATAGTACCTATAGGACCCAGTTCGTCACACTCTCCTTCTAAAGTATTAGGTACTTAGAATTTTTATAATATCTTTCCTTCTAAAATAGTATTTAAGTTATAGTAGATTATATTATTTATATTATTATAATAATTATTACTATATAAGTTAATATTTATATTTTCTAAGTCTAAGGTAATTTATTTTAGTTTTTTATTTTAGATATTATAGTATTTATACTAAGTATATCTAGGTTATAATATATTTCTAGTAGTAAGCTTATAGTACTTCCGAAGGTTATTTTAGTTATTTCCTTGTAATTTATTATTATTACTATATTTTATAAGGTTAAATCCTTATTGTTTTAGGTTGTAGGTAATATATATAAGGGTATAACGTTAATATTAGTACTTCCTATAATATTCTTTATTATAGTACGTAAATTTTTTTTATTTATATTCTACAGCTCTATAGTTTTTATATTATTCTTAAAGTTTAAGTATAATATACTATTTATATAATAGTAATTTACAATTAATAATATTAGCTTTATTATATTAGTTTATAAATAGGATATTATTAATAAAGTAGATAGCTAATTTTAGTACCTTAGCTATTAAGTATTTATCTACGTTAGTCTTAATATAATATTATAACTAGCTTCTTAGTAATTAAGTTTTATTATAGGCAGCGTATAGATTAATTTACTTAATTTTACTTTATTATTTAAGGAGTTTTTATAGTATAAGGCTTACTAATAGGGTAGTATTTAGAAGACTATTAAGCTTATTTTTATTATTTCCGAGGTTATACCTAACTTAGTTTAGGCTATTTACTTAGGTTTCTAATTCCTCTAAGGGTTCCTATTTATAAAAATATCCTAGTCCTTAAGGTTCTTAGGATCCGTAGTTCTTATATAATTTAGTAATATTAAGGTCTATATATTTTATATTATAGTTTTATATTATAATATCTTAAAGATTATTATTATATTAGTATATATTTTTTTATTATTCCTATTTATAAATAACTTCTTTTTTATTTTTAAAATTAAGTAAGTTTTCTTATTTTATTATTCTATTATTACCTAGGTATAACTAAGGGGTTATATTTATATTATTAAGGGCTTACTAAACTAGCGTTCTTACGTAGTTTATACCTTTTTAGTATTATTTATAATTTATAAGTACAGTGTATTAGTATTTAACTTTTACTATATTTTTTTAAGTAACTTCCTTAAGTATATTTAAAGTTTATATATATTTAGGTCCCTTAGGAAACTATTTAAAACCTTATTTATTACTAAAGTATATCTAGCATTAATTATTATAATATACTAAGAAGTATAGTATATTATAGTTTACTAAAGGTTATATAGTATTAATAGCTTAGTTTTCCTTAGGTTTTAGAATAGGCGTAAATTTCTTATTTCTTTTTTTCTTAAGTACTTAGTAGTATTTTTTTATATATTTTTTCTTTCTATAGTTATAGTATTTAATATTTTTATATTATACCTTAATAATACTAAGGTTTATTAATCCTAGTTTTTTATTATTATAAATTATAAAGTCCCTCTTTTTCCTTTAGTTAATATTATTACTAAAGTAAAGGTATTTTAGAATTATTTTTTAACAATTCCTTTTTTATTTATATTTTTAACATTATTAAAATTATTATTTATTAATATAAATAGCCTTTTTTATAAGTTTATTAAAAGTATTAGGCTTTATATTTCTAAAGAGTTTATCCTTAATATTTAAATTAAGTCCTTAATAGTAAAATATATATTATACTTTTTTATTTAAGTTAGTCCTAGCAGCTAGGTATATAAAGGTAGTAGTATATTTTACACAGGGTCCTTTTTATTTAATCTAAAAAAGTATATCTTTAGCTTCCTTAAATTTATTAGTTTTTCTATATAGTTTTTTAAATTACTTTTTAAACATAGTATAGCTTATAAATAGGTTAAGTATATATTATTTTTTTATAGTTTTAGTTTACTTATAATCCCTAAGGTATAATTTAAACTAATCTTTAATAGTTTTAGTTAGGTAACTTCCTATAGTTTAAATTTTTATAACGTTATCGGCTATAGTAGTTAAAAAGTAACTAAAGTAGTTTTTTATATTAGTAAAAACTTCTAAATCTACTTAAGATCTCCTTTAAACTTATTTAATAGTACTAGTTTAATAGTTTCTTTAGGTTTTTATTATTATACTATAGGGGCTAGGTTAACCACGGGGTTTACTACTAGTTATACTATTAATGGTTATTCTTATAGTATCTAGAGTTATCCCGTAAGTTTTTATATAATAGCAGCTTATTATTATATAAAAGTCTCTAAGTTTATAAATCTTATTATAGTAGCGTATTTTTATTATACTTTAGTAAAGTCTTTATAAATTTTATCCTATATTTAGTTAATTATTATATCTTATTACCTATAGGTCTAAGGTAACTATTTAAATAAAAGTTATTATTATATAATAAACCAGTACTTATAAACTAATATAGGTTAGCTATTCCTAAGGGATAAACCTTAGAATAGTTCTATAGTTTATATTAGCAGAGTAATTAAGTTAGTAATAGGCAATTTTATCACTAACTAGTAATATAAATAAAAATAAATATTTATATTCTAATATAATTATATTATAAATACTATAATAATAACTAGCTATTTAAGTATTTTAATAAGTAATATAAAGTAAACTTATATACCTAGTTGGCTAGGCTAGATTATTAAAGAATTTAATAATCTTATCTTAGATTATTAGAATTTCTGATGATCTAGCTTATAGATTATTAGATTATTAAATAATCTAATGATCCATATTTAATTAGTTAGTTAGTCTGACGTTTATCCGTGACCGTCTAACCTATAGGCCCATTATTGCGACCATAAGATCCGGGTCGTGACAATTAGTAATATATATTATAACAAAGATAATGCTAAGACTCTAGATTATAATAATGCATTCTAAGATAGAATATAAATATACTTTAGTAATAGAGACCTAAAGATCTTTAATACCTTTACTAAGGGCCTAGATATCACTGGTCATAAGTTAACTCAT